TGAGGGGAAAACATCAGGCACTCACCGCATCGATGTTGCTCATGCCGGCCGATCCCGCAGCTGCCAACCACTGTTACGAAAGACGGCGACGCCAACACGGTCCCGAAGGCGCCACTGCTCCGATCTCCGCCGACACGGTCACCAGCCGTTTGGTAGCGTAGGTTTCTCAGCTCGCGACTGCTTCTGCGCAGAGCTGATAGACGAGCGTACGAGACGACGGTGAGTTAAACAAGGTTTATGTACAGCATATATACAGAGGCGTTACAAATTCGGCACTGGGGCCGACAGCTTAGAGACCCGAAGAGCCGAGCTCTTCTCTTTAGCACATAGGTCTCTCCTCGCGACGCGGCGCAGGGCTCCTTTTATATGCACTGGGTGGATTCTTTGAGTAACCAAGTGTCCAACCAGAAGCCCCGCTGGTCGCGAGGTCAGAATCCTCCAATGGGGTCGCCGCTGGGCCGCGTCATTCTCATAGAATGCGGAGCCGCTGCGCTGCACGTGGCTGCACACAAGGACGAGTGACGTCACCAGGCATTGCGTCAGGCTCACCAGACAGGAAGGCGCCGATTGCTTCGACGCGCTCGTGGGTTGAGGAGCTCGCTGTCCGTTGCCCGACAGAAAGGCACCACCACGTGATGACGCCGTTGAGTTGTTCGCGTCAGGCGGGCTCGCGGGCTGGCCTTGACACAGATTGCCTTTTTCAGAGGCACGGACGTTCGCTGTGGACTCGCAGGCATAACAACACATCATGCAGCCACTGTCGTTTTCCACCCGGGGCACATAGGCGTACTGACGCCTGAAATGGGCAGCAAAACAGGAAAGCTATCACTGAAAATTAATCGCAAAGGTGTTTATTTTATATTTTGAGCTATATCAATTGTGTGCACTGTTAGAAACAACACGGGACGCAAAGTATCCACGCCTAACATGAATTGCCGCACAGTGTACGTCGTGGTGTACACGTTTCGTCATCGTTGCATTTGATTTTTTTTTAAAGCGACGTCGGCGAGTGGGCTCTCATCTGTGCAAGCAAATGACTCATCGCCTGTCTTTCTGCCGCTAATGAACATCGCCGCATTCTCGCTAATGCATCTTTTGGGTGTGAACACGGACAGTAAATATAGGTAAGTTCAACTTGAAAGTTTGATTCACGAATAGCTTACTCGTGAGTAAACATAATAGCTCACGTGACCCTGCAGCCGCAGTTCACATCACATCAGCACATCTTATAATTTCTCAGTCACATGAACACTTCGGATCGCGAGCGATTGTGATCGCCGCTGATCTCTTAAAAAAAAGTGCCCGGTGTGGCACAGGCGCAGAAATAAGCGTTTTGTCCTGAGGTTGTATGCTTAGACGAAAGCACAAATATCTTCGGGGTTCACCAGAAGGAAGGTTTCCAGTTCTAGACAAAAAGCTGAATTGAACAACTTCACAATGAATCAAGCGACTCTTCTTCTGCATGTCGACGATGTGGGTGCGCTTTGAAGACGCGGACAGGGAAAAGACAGGTGTGCCCAGTCCACGTCTTCAAAGCTCATTCACATCGTTGCCACGCAGAACCAAGCAGCCCAGTTAAGTTTGCTGACAAACTTCTCCTGCCGTTTATGCATTTTCTGTTTGTAGAGGCGCGACCACTATCAGAGTTAACATGGAGCAGGAAGCCGCGCTCACCGGAACGCCGCGGCGGATATTTTGAGCGGCGCTCATCGACAACTCGATAGTGAGTCCCTTCATGTAGCCGCTAGACGTTGCTGCAAACACATCCTAATGAATGCGCCAGAAATAACAGAGCAGCAAACTGAAACACACCACGAAAACACCGCTACAACCATTGAAAAAGCATTGCTGGAAGTGCCGCACCGGAAGTCTGCTGGGGTAGGCCGTACACCGATAACGTCTATAGCCGATCTGTTCGATTTGGGGGTCAGGATTTTTTAAAAATGGTCAATTCATTGTCTACCAAGGTCTCCGTCATTTTCAGGGACTCCACTGTACATTAGCGTTCAACAAAAGTAAAATACAATGTGAAAAAGGTGTCAAAACATACGCAAAAAAAAAGTGATCACCGGCATTACCGCGGTACGCACCACGCGAAGTCTCTATCTGCCTAGCATAATATTTTCCTCGCGTGTTTTCTCAAATTTTATTGAAATAGGCTCAACATCAACACTGTTTAAAACACTTGGAGGTGTGGGGGAGGCGCTGCTACTTTGGTGGCGTGGGCCACAGCAATATATAAATATTATATCTCTAGTAAACTTGCCTAAGTGATGGGAGCTGCTGCAATTCGCTTATCTACTCTTAAAATTGCGGCTCGAGGCTTTCACTTGTTCTTAGGCCATGCAATGTGTAGTGTTTGTAGTGAAAGCGAGATAATATGGGCCTTCGTAGGTCGCGGCGGGCAGCCGTTGTACGCAGTGACTGGTGTACGTGTCGCACATATTGACTTCCTGGTCTTGTATCGAGTGAACAAGCGAGGCCTTCCTGATCCAATGAGCTCGTTAAAGTACAACAAGAACAAAACACAATTAGTGCTTCTCTTTCAACATCGTACACAGAAACAGATGACGAGCCCCCAACAAACCGCGCTGCAGCACGTGAACCCAGGGAGGTACCCAGGCATGGCGGGAGAGGGCGACAATGGCGGGAGTGACATCACATGAACACTATGTATAATAAAAACGCGAACAGTACATCTCCCCGCTTTGCCGGTCGCATTACTTCTCAAGCCCTTTTAGCCTTGGTGGTAATAAAAGACGAGCCATTCATGGTGCATAATGACCAGAATAGCGTGACCAAGCTAAGAGCGCGCCGAGACAAATGCGAACAGCGCGGTTCGTGTTTCTTTTCGTCGCCCCTGTACGTCGTAACGTAGGCGAGCTCGCTCGAGCGCTTGCGAGGTGAACATCGATGTTCGCGATTGCTGCCGCAGGTTTGTGTACCGCAGGAGTGCCTTATTGCGCACCACTAGCACAAATTAAAACTAGAAAAGTTTTAACATTCAAAATACACAGTTGTACTATCTAGTTCACTGTAGCCATTGAGTTAGGAAACTCTGTGACTGTAGCAGTACCATACATACAGATAGGGTACAGACATGAAAAACTAATTGAAGAAAGAAATAGACCAATACACTAATAGACCGAAAGAGGTCCAATAGACCACAATGCCACCTATAGACCTATAGAATACCAATACACCAATACTTTGATAATCCGATACGCTATTGGTTTTTCTATAGGCGATTTTTGCTGATAAGGTGTCTGCGAATCGATAAGGTTTTGCAAATAAGGTGTCTACAATTAAACCTTTATCAACTGCCGGCCTGAGAGGCGGGTGAGGAACTTGCGAGGCACGGTGGCTCGGTTAAACGATACACGGTGCTTTTAAAAAACTATCCAGGGACTTTATTTACATCCCGTTAGTTTGAGCTGCCAACATTTAAGTATGAATCGCCAACTAGCGTGCTTTTCAATCCCTCCTGTCATTCCTTACTGTCGTCACTCCCAGCCTTGCCATAACTTGGTGAGGGTTTCCAATATCATCAAATGCACCATTGAAATTGTGTAATGTCCAATTACTGGAGGTGTCATTGTGCCCTTGTCAGTCTTTACCAAACCACCTACACCGTCACAGAATGTTTCGGCGCCTACACGTCCCTACAAGTCTGCTGATGGGTCACGTCACAGTTCTACTACGGCCGCTTGGATACACGCTACCAGTCGGGAGTTCAGGCTTTCGAAAACACACGAGCGACACTATTGCGCAATACGCTGCCCGGAATGCACGATTCAGTTGGCTAGTAATCGCTCCCCCTTCTATCTGCAAATAACCAAATGCACAGCCACTGGCTTACTTAACCACCGTGAGCCGCAAGCTACACGTGGACGCCACAGGCTAGCGCCACGTGTTTGCATTCACGATCCCACTGAATGTGCGAGGACAGCGGCCCGCGAAAAATGGGATCCCGGACTAAGGATCCCAGTCACATATCTACTCGCACAGAAAATCATAACAGTTTTATTCTCTCCCCCACTGAAAGCAACGCATTCGAGTAAAGAAGAGCTCAAGGTCAATCTTGGATGACTCTCATCTGCCTTCCATGCGTACATTGTCGATAGCACTGACTTCACAGGAAAAGCTCACCATGGGGCCTTTGCACCGAAATCTGCAACTGCACGGGTGCCACCACGATGGAACTATACTCGGCATTCGGGTGATGTTTCACTCGCATTTCCAACTGCATACTGCAATACCCCTGGCAATTTTTGATGCTTTGTGCCTCCGTTTTATCATAAGTTGAGTTGTGGGCTGATGGCAAAAAAAAGGGGGGGGAGGGACGACGACGCATGCAAGGATGATGTCATTATCTATAGAGTAAACAAACCTGCAAACACTCCCTTCTACGTACAGTACACTGCGTTACTAGCCATTGAATCTCCCCAAAAAATGTCTTATATGTACAAACATGAAGCAAATTCAGTCAGTTCTTATGCGAGCACTCTTCATGGTTTACACTGCGAGAGTGGGTGACCTAACATGCAATAATTGGCACTTCTGTAAATTGGGGTAATGACAACATACCAACATATCTCTGCTCGTGCCATTATAGCTTTATCTGCCTAGCCAATTTTCTCTAAAGCGTTACATTAACCATGACATTGTAGTATTATGGGTGCTTATTAGTACGAAAGAGAAAGCACCCGAAACATGACGAATACCTGAAACTCTGCTTGTACCGGAGGCACGGTCATCATACATGATAATCAATAGAGGGTGGGAAGTGACAGGGGTTAATACCCTCTTCCCCAACCTCGCCCAGAGGAAACTGCCCAACTTCAAATAAAGTTTGTTCATTCATTCACGTCATTCATTCGAAAAAGTAAAAACAACCACCTGCATTTGCAATGGTGGTAGTCTACAAGGCTACACAAGGTATGCTGGAAATTCACACTGGTCCAAGTGGTCTCTCCCGCAAGAAACACAAGCCACTAGAAGAGTGGTGTGAATAAACTTTATTTGTAACATGAAATTCTCCATACCACATACACAAATTTACCTAGGGGACGAAGAAAGGATGACAATTTTTTGTTGCAATTGCACAAAGAGCATTGCAGCTTATTCTGGGTTGCGGACAAAAAACGGACACGTCCGAAACGAGAAATGAAATAGAAAATTTTATTATTAAAAGTAAACAAAGCATATAAATGTAAATAACTAGAAAACAAATTTGTCATGCAACAGCAAAAGTCCATTTTTCTTTGTCATTCACCTTTCTTTTCTCCCCCCACATGTAAGATCATTTTCTGCCACAATTTTTTTAACTTATCAACGCTGAATTACCACCATGTTGCCGAATTCATTAAAACCCCGCACTTGACTTTTTCTTCATTTTCATTTTTAGGGTTCCCCCTCTCCACTAGCATTCTAAACATTTGTTTTGCTGCTTTTCTTGTTCACAAACAACTTCTATCCAAGTGAGCGTTGTGTTCTGTAAAGTTGCGTCGAACTGTACTGAGGGGGGGAAAAGTAAGCTGCTCAAGTTTTGCCTTGTCTTTACTCTCGCCGACGAGACAGAATGAGAGAAAGAAAACACCTGTCTACAAAGAGTTCACAGGCGTGGAGGAAGAGTGCGTGTGTGCAGAGAGAGAGTTAAAGGTCATCGACACTTTGACTGAGAGGAAACAGCTCGCAAAAAAAAAAGCCGTGTGTAGGGGAAAAAAAAAAAAAAAAGAAGACTAAGGTTTGAGGACAGAGCCAGCCCAAGTATCAAGATGCCACCATGCCAGCAATTTGCACCGAGTACAAAAAGGGGAAGGGGCCACGAGAGGAAGGTAGCAGAGCAGCAAACAAGCTGGACAGACTCAGTTGCTGCAACTGCCGTGTAAAATGACGCCAGCAGATGGGGGAGGGAGAAAAAAATCAAAAGAGAAGTCTCCTAGATAGCGTCGATGTCGATGTCGTCCTCGTCTGCCCCCTTGGCCGGTGCGGCCTTGTTGGCAGGTGGTGCCTTGGGCTGTTCCTTCACCTCCTGGATGCTGGTGCTGATGTGACGGTCCGAGTAGACCACCTGGTGAAAGCAACGCCAGCATATTTACACACGTTAGTGCTAGGCTCATTGAATTAAGTGAACATTGGGAGTACCGTGAACTCCCGTTAAGACGAACTCATTTAAGATGAATTCTCGCTTATGCCGAACAACGTGAGAAGGTTTGTTTGATTTTCCATAGACCCAATGCAAAAAAAAATCCGCTTAAGACGAACAGTTTTGCACCTGCTCTTCTGTTAAGACGAACACTTTCGTGGAGACTGGGAGACCGAGGAGATTCTACAGAAAAATTATGGCAACCTTGGGGGGGGGGGGGGGGGCATTCCCGCAGCCAGGGGGAAAGAAAATACAAAAGCAGCAACGGCGCGCAGCGAGTTCGCGCCACGGGGGAGGGAGGGAGGCAGCAACAAAAAAATGGCCCGCGGCATCACCCGCACCTCGACCCGCAGAGCGAGCGACAAAGCAAACAAGAAGAAAATGAGATAGTTTTGAGATCGGCTATCGGCCGCGAAGAAGCAAGCAGGGGAAAAAGTAAAAAAACAAAATGGCGACCGAGACTCCGTATTCGCGAAGAGAGCAGCTCTCATGACCAATGCCGTTTCTCAGCGGGAACGTGTGAGCTCACGTCGTACAGCCATAGCTCTCTCCACGTGGATGTTCTCCCTCTCAGACCTCGCCGTCGCTGCCGCCGCCATCGTCGAGGAAACGAGCTCTTTCTCTGCGCCGAGTCTGCGATCGCACGTTTTATATTCTATGCGCTTTGATTGCTTCGCTTGTCTCGTTGAAAATGGCCAGCAAGCCAACTGTACAATGAAAGCCAATCGAGCTTTCAAGGAAAGCAGAAATTATGTCCGAAGTGAGAGCTGGCAAGCTCACGAAGACCGAGATTGCACGCAAGTTCGGGATTGTGAAGAGCACGCTAACGGGCATCGTGAAGGATAGTGCGCGGGTAACCGCTGCATTGAGCGATGGAGACTTCGCGCCAAGCGAAAGAAGATGCGGACGGCTGCGCAGAAGGGCTTGGAGGATGTTCTGTTCGCATGGATACAACGTGCTCGTAGCGTGAATCTGCCTGTGTACGGCGTAGTTCTGAAGGCAAAAGCGGAGGAAATCGCCCTACGAATGAACATCGAGTTTGCCTGCAGCGACGGATGGCTCGATCGCTTCAGAAAAAGACACGGACTTGCGTTCCGATCTATTGCCGGTGAGGCCGCCGCCGTTGACAAAGTGACCTGCAACGATTGGAGGCTGACCAAGCTGAAGGAGATCCTTCAGGATTATGACCCCGGCGAGTTGACGAGACAGCCCTCTTTTACCAGCTGCTTCCAAAGAAGCAGCTCGCTTTCGCTGGCGACGACTGCACAGGGGGAAAGCACAGCAAGGTGAGGGTTACCGTACTCGTTGGCGCAAACATGTCAGGAAGCGACAAGCTGAAACTGTTGGTCATCGGCAAACCAAGATCGCTGTGCTGCTTCAAGCACGCTAAAACGCTACCGGCGACCTACACGGCCAACTCAAAATCCTGAATGACTCGGTCAATTTTTCGAGGAGTGGCTGCGAGACATAGATCGCCGTTTCCAGAAAGAAAAGAGACTCGTCATATTCCTGTTGGACAACTGCCCTGGGCACGAGCACGTCGCCGACCTTCAGGCCATTCGCTTGGAGTTTTTGCCTGCTAACACCACAGCCAAGCTCCAGCCAATGGACCAGAGGGTGATCAGCAGCCTGAAAAGGCACTATCGCCGATCTCTTCTGCAGAGAATGTTACTGTGCATGGAGAGCGACAAACAGTACACAGTGGACCAGCTGACAGCACTTCTCCTCTCAAATGCCTGGAGCCAGGTGACTGACATGACTATAATAAATTCATTCCGTCATGCTGGTTTTGTGGTGCCCGAGTGCTCGGCGCAAGACAGTTGCGAAGACGAGGAAGAGGCGAGCCTCGTTGCCTCGCTAGGCAATAAAGGACTCGCCGTGGACATAGGCAGTTATGTCACTGTCGATGAAGATGTGCCAACCTACAGGGAAGACACATTAGACACATTGATTGATGAGGTTCTAGAGGTTCCTTCGGAGGTGACGAAGATGCCAGCATGGGGCCTGCGCCAGTGGCAAATGATGCTGCAGTACTCTACATTAGTTCGTTAAGGAACTATTTTGAGCAGCATGAAAGAACCGAAGTGTTTTTGAGATCGCTAGGAGATATGGCGTCATTTGTGGCTGCTTGCCGATGTGCACAACAGCGACAGACGTCCATTATGGACTGGATCAAGCCGAGCAAGAGCACTTGAACGCAGTTGCCTATCAGGTTACTCCCTCAAATAAATTATTTTTGTGTCTTTTTCCTTCACTGTAAGTGTACTTGATACTTTGTTTTGAACTAAGATATTTGCATGCACCTAGGTATGTAGCCAATTCTTTTTTCGTGGGTGCTTCTGATAAGACGAACATATGATAAGACGAACAATTTTTCATGGTCCCTTCGAGTTCGTTTGAAAGGGAGTTCACTGTATATAGTACTACAACAGGACAGAAGGAACAAGCGTGACTTTGACATTGTCCTTCGCAGAGACGAAAAGACTCACCGTAACATGAAAACAACATTACAGGATATATTTAGCCACATAAATGAAAACATTGGCCGAACGCGATAGTAAAGACGATAGTTATAGCGCGAGAACAAAACGACCACACAGAGACAAGGAGGACACGAAGGACACTATCATCATGCCATACCGATTAGCCCAAGCTGCCACACTTCTAAGCGATAGTAAACCTAGTAACCATGAGCGAAGCGTATATCTGGCTTGGTTTAGCAAAGACTATGCATGCAGCGTTTCAGTGTGGTTAGGCTTTGTTGCAAACCTAACTGAAACAGCCCAGAAGTCTACAGCGAACACTAGCTGATTTACGTGCATTTAAAAAATAAATGCTTGAAAACTTTTTTCGTCTTTAACAGAAGTGTTTAAATGAAAGACAGCTATTACAACTGATTGCTTTCGTACCCGACTACTGCAACCTTGTTTATCTCCCAGTAAATGGTACGTTTTCCTGGTCCCTTTAGGTTCTGTTTCACGAGAGCTCACAGTACTCTAAAATATTCGACGACATTCTAACACGCCTCGTGTGAAGTGTGTGGCCACTGACCTCAACGTTCTCATCCTGGGAGTCATCCCCGTCGCCCTCGGAGGAGCTCTCCTCTTCCTCGGCCTCCTGGAGCCATTTGATGAAGGGGCGGGCCCGCTCGTGGATCTCCTGGGCCACCTCTCGGCTTACGTACTTCTTGGAGACCCGCTTGGACCAGTCCAGAAGAACCTCCTCCTCCACAATGTCCTGGTCATAGAGCAGCTTCAACAGGTGGGGCACACGCGGAAGCAGGGCTGCGCTGTACTCCTTGACCACCTGACGACCAGAATGCACAATTGGCAGACGAGTACGATCCAGGTCTTATTTTGGCAAACTACAAAATGCATTAGTTTCCTGTGTATCCTTTCATTAAAATAAAATAAAATAGCTTACATTCATAACACTAGATGTGCAGCTTTGCCCATTATGCTACCTCCACTTCAGTTGCCAACATGCATACTCATATGTGCAGTAAGTACTGGACGTACTAAAAATTACAGAACCTTGGTGACATGAACCCAGCTGATACGAACTTCGTCCAATGAGAATTCATTAAAGGTGCGGAACACGGCATTTGTTAGGTCCATACCTGCTCGATGCCCCCGAGGAGATAGCGCTGTGCCCGGTGGTTGCCATGGGTGAAACGCAGCAGCAGGGCCCGCTGCCCAGCCACCTGGCTCAGGATGTTCTCATCAAAGAGCAGCTCGCACAGCACCAGCGGGGCCTTGTCGCGAACCTCGAGGCGCTCGGCCTCGCCCACCACCTCCTTGCCATCCAGGGCGCCAGCAGCTTTGTGGGCCTTGACATAGTTGTAGAAGATGTCCATGCGCTCCTGCTCAGTCTTCTCCAGGTCGTCGTCCAGCATCAGACCCTTGGCACCGGCCGTCAGGGCCTCCAGCCGCCGAGCCTGAAATCACCAAGAGCATTGGAGATCTTTAGAGGGAGAAATTTCTATTGACTAAACATGGATTAAGGACCAGACCAGGAACGCATACTGCGACTACAGTCCAAACTGGCCATAGAGTAGAATGACAAAACACAGCTTGCAGAGAAAAGAAGGGGTGTGCGAATACTTGAACTTTCAAATATTTTGCTAATAGTAGGGGTGAGATGGTTGAAACTACACTGGGAGCAGTTTTTGGAGCAGCAAAATTTCAATTTTGGAGCAGACGAACCTTGCTTTGCAGCAGTTTGCGGCATTTAATACGTCGTCCTAGGAGCTTGAAAAAAATCATTTTTAGCAACATGGGGGCACAAGTGCGTATTTTCATTGGCTCACAGTACACAACACTGAAACAGACTATGAACATATTTGAACAGTTTTTGAGCATGTTGCCAAGTATGAACTACACTATGTTTTAACATACCATGTGGCTCATCTAGCCTTTGTAACCAATATAGAATAATATTTGAAAAAAGGTTATGAAAACTAGGTTCACCAGAGACATTTAAAAAGAAAAATGCATCACATAAAGAATTGAAAAGAAAGGCACTTTCGCAACATTTAACAGGCAACAAAAGCACACTGCACCGCCGTTTGCGGCCACCACGTGCGAGACCACTTAAGAGTTTGGCGTGGAAGCCAGGAAACCTTGCCCACCGATTATTTTGTAAAGTGCGTGCGTATGGCACTAAGTGGCAGGTGAATGGTACCAATAACGCCTCTTGACACACGCAACCACACATTAATACTGCCCATGTTGGCCTGTTTCTATTTTCTTTTTCTTTAATATTGTAGGCAATGACCCTTGATGCAGAGTTCCTGATAATCGTACATACACACAAACTTGCGATTGCCGCAACGCCGCTTCGCCACTTGCGTAAAAAACGCTCGTTCTGTGCTGTGTAGGTAAGCAACGTGTCCACGCAAACAAAGCGCCCAACGTACAGAGGCAGGTTTGGTTGCAGAAAGAAGAAAAGGAAAAGAATTTATGCCAGTCACACTGCCGAACGGCCACCAACCGAAAGACCGGTTGAACGTAAAGCTAAGAGCCGCCACGCAGCGACGCCCAAAAGCACGCGTTGCGAGTTTTGATGACAAAACAGAGCAGTGGCAAATAACCATTTATGAGAACTGTTCCGTGTAATTGCCAACGCGTCCGGAGTGCCCTGGAAACTCCCGGAGTGCCCCACCGCGGTGGTATAAAGTCCTGAATAAAGCGCCGCCGAGATGCCTATTGAAGGGACACTAAAGTCAAATACTTTATGTCAGACCGAAATCTGAAGCATGAAACCTGAAACAACAAAATTACCAACAGCAGTGCCCTGATTACCGAAAAATTAATATGCGCGAGAACAGATGTGCCACGAGTAGGACATTCGCAAAATGATCCCAATGACATAAGAGTCACCGCCTACAATTATACACAATTGAACTAGCTGCACTAAATAAACTTTCTGTGCATCAAGAGATGTATTAAAATGGTGCTTGTTCATTTTTGTTTGATTCATGGAGAAAAATCGCTACCGGACGTTACTATGGCGAATAACGCGAGTATTTTCAAAAGTTAAATTTTCGCCTGGTTGAACTGGACGGGCCGTGCCACCTAGTGCCCAGCTGAACAAAGCACGCCTGCCATTGGGCAGCCCATGGCAGGAAATTGTTCAATAGTTGTTGCCGCTACTGTTTGCGCTACTTTCGCTTTGCTGCTACAGTGAAACCTCGTTAAACCGTAGTTGGCCGGAGCTAGGAAAAAGTATGTACTAAACGGTAGTACTGCTTAACCGAAATAGCGTCAGGTCGCTCACTTACCTGTCAAAAAAAGAAACCTTCAGGGAGTGTGATAAAAAAACAAAAAACGTGCAGTAATTTATTAACTTTGCGTGACTAAGTCTAATCTTCATTTGACGCGGCGGCCTAGCAGCAACGACAGCGGCCTCAAACTCACTTATTCTGTGAGCCAGCTTTTCCGCCAGCCCCTCTTCTCGGCAAATACCCGCATGACGCTGACGCAATGCGCACTTCGGCCACTGTCGGACCTGGATCACCCGTGTTGTCGCTTTCCATGTCGTCCTCACCTCTATCATTTGGCGACACTTCGACAACCGAGGCAACAATGGCTTCGTCGGACATGTCCGGAGATCGCTGTCTGCGTCTCTGAAGTCGGGGAAGGAAATGCCTTCCGTAACACCCTGCCGCTCCAGCACTTTAGCCACGCAGAGTTTTGCAAGCTTTGTCTACGATGTCCGAAGTCTGGTCGATGGTGTCACTGGCGTCATCTGTGTCACCCGCAGACACACTGAAGCCAACACGCTTGAAGCAATTTTGAACTGTCGTTGCTTCAACCTGCCGCCACGAGTATTCGAGCAGGTGAATCGCGCCAATCAGGTCGATGGAGAATAATTTGCCACATTCAATGGCGAGAAGAAATCTACACAGCAGATTCTTCTTGTAGAGCTGTTTTACAGCTCGAATGATGCCTTGGTCCAAGGGCTGGGCAATCGCTGTTGTGTTTGGTGGTGGCAGAAACGCCAAGTTCATAGCCGTCAGGTTGTCCAGGGCGACGTGCGCCGAAGCGTTGTCTAAAATAATAACAACTCTTCTGTTCTTAGCCAGCAAAACGACGATCGATGAGGTGCACGTACTCCTCAAAGAGTTTTGCCGTCATCCATGCTTTAGTGTTGCTGCGATAGATGACCCCTGATGGCAAAAAATTCTGCTATCTGTAATAGTATCAGATATATTGCAGTAATTTTCATGCAGCGTGTGCAAAATTGCCATTCTGAGAAAATGAAGAAAACAAAGAATTCTAACACCTTTAACTGTAAAAATGTATGTACTTATAATTACATAGCCCCTGACACATAAATGAATGCTTGAAAGCCTAAGGAGTGCAACGCTGCAAGCTGATTGAAAATTGAATGAGTACGTCTCGAATTACAGCACATTAAAGTTCTTTGCATGTAACTGAATACAGAAATTTTTATATTAAAATAAAAAAAAAATGAAGCTGCCCATTAGAAATACTCTCCCAGCATTGTTTTTCGTGCACATTTAGCAACATTGTGCAAAAACAATTACAGCTCTAGCTGTCCTAGGCCCACTTTTACCGAACAAGCAAAAGAAAGTAGTCCAAATCTGTGCTTCGAGAATAATGCTGTTAAAATTATTTTGCCGTTCCGAGGAAAAAATATCATGGCACAGATACTTTTAGTCAGTTACCGTAATTACTCGAATCTAACGCGCACATTTTTTTCCGGTTAAGCGAGTTCATAAATAGCATGCGCGTTAGAATCGAGTACGAAAAAAATTAATACGGTCATTCTAATGCCATCGGCATTCCAAAATGGTCGCCCCCTACGTGCGTTGGCATGGCGCGTCGGCCATTTCTGCCTGTATGTTTCCCATGTGCGGCACTTCGTACGTGTGCTGAGGAGTTCGTCATCTTGGTGTGCATTAGCATCGACGGCATGGAAGGGCCGACTCCAAAAACTCGACGAGTGCACCACTATGCCGCTTTTAAAAGAAATGTCATCGCCTGTGCCGAACCGGACGTAAATCGGGCTGCATCGTGGTCGTTCGGAGTTCCCGAAACGTGCTTGCCGGACTGGCGGAAACAAAAGCAGAATATTGTCGACAGCAAAGATTTACGCAAAGGCTTTAGCGGACCACAGCAGGGTCGGTTTCCGCAAATTGAAGAGCTGCTCGGCGAGTATGTGATTGAGCAGTGAGCGGCACAGCAGGCCCGTGATAACAGAACTGCTCCAAGTGCAGGCTATGCAGTTGGCCTTAAAAAAAGGGCTAATGCGGAGGCAGTTTAAAGCTAGCGGGTGCTGACTAACTAACTTTATGAAGAGGAAAGGCTTTTCCCTCTGAAGGCGAACGAGCATATGCCAAAAGTTGCCGGAGGAGTACGAAGAAAAGCTTCAGTTTTCAGAGGTTCGTCCTAAACTTGGGGCACAACAACGGCTCCCTGCTTGGGCAAATCGGGAATACCAATCAGACGCCTCTTTACTTCGACATGCCTGGCACCACAACTGTCGAGAAGAAGGGGGTGAAGCAAGTTCCCATGCTGACATCGAGCCACGGTAAAACTAGAGTGACGGCAATGCACCGTTGCATGTCAGATAGGCACAAGCTTCCCCCGTTCCTCATATTTAACCCCGGTCCTCATATTTAAACGGAAGACACTCCCGAAAGGAGTATTTTTCCCGAGTGGTGTGATCGTGTGGGCCAACGAGAAAAATGGGTGCGCATTACAATCGATGTCTTACTTTTTTTTTTTCTTCGTGGAGACCGGGTGCGCGTTACAATCGAGGGCGCGGTAGAATCGAGTAAATACGGTAATATGCACCAGGAATGCAATAGGACTGATTGTTTGCACGAGCGTGTCATTTCTTCTAGTCCTGTAGCAAGTTGTCACCGTGTGGTTGTATGCCGCGAAGCCGCTTATCAGTTCGGTGACTATACCGACGGTGATATGCGACAAATATGCGTGCGTCATCCGCGATCCGTCGAATAACACGGCGATGTTTTCCGGCTAGTCCAGAATGAGTTACCCGTAAATGTTGCGAACCAAAGTTGCTCCCTCACTCATCAATGTCGAGGGTACACGAGTGCCGAGGTGTTTCGTTTTCACGTAAGACTGCCGCATTTTCGAGCGGAGACCGAGACAACGTTGCGAACACGTCGTTAAAAGCAGTCTACCTGTTGCCAGTAGCCTCCATTGCGGGGGCGGCAGGCATGTTCACCGCTAACGGATTGACTTCCTGTTAGTCGACGCTTAACGTACTCCACTCCGACGACCCGTCGTGCAGCTCAAGGTCCTTTCATTAGGCGGGGGGAACTGCGGCATCGGCGCGTTTAGCGATAAGACTGCGCTTCCGTTCCATCACTACGAAGATTGATATCTCTTTTAGCTTCACTTCTGCCTTTTACTTGCCGTCCTCAAACTGATGAGGCTGCAA